AGCCGCTTCAGTAAGCCCCGAACCCCCATGAGTACGATTTTGTGAACAAAATGCTACTTCTGGATGACAGGGTCTGTTTTCTAACTCTCTCCTGTTCTGTTCATTTCTCTCTTTTAACTGAATCCCCAAAATGCTTTAATGTCTTCCCTTTCAAAATGTTCTTTTTTATTCTTGACTTCATATTCAGTCAAATAAACATTTCATTTTCTCAAGTAATTCAAAAAAAAAATCCTGTTGGGATTTTTATTATCATTGTGTTAAATGTAATTTGGCAAAAGATTGACATTTTTGTATGACTCAGTCTCTCCATGAACATAGTGTGTCATTTTATTCAAACTTATTTTGTATTTCTAAGGTGTGCAGTAAACCACACACATTTCTTACTAAGGTTGTATCCAGGCGTGTTGGGTTTTTTTGTGGGACGGTTGCTGCTGCCTTTTCTCATTATGTTTTCAGTGTGATCCACTGCGAAATGGAAGAAGGGCATGTCCATTTGAGCAATTACAGGCCTTCCAAGTACAGAAATTAAACACCAAAGGTAGAGTTTGCCTATAAAAGCCTTTAAATCGATGATGATAGTGTTATATTGTCCTAGTAAGTTTGTCCTGAGAGCAAAAGAATCAAATACTTTTTTTTTTTTTTGGCTGTATCGGGTCTTCGTTACTGCACGCGGGCTTTCTCTAGTTGCGGTGAGCGGGGGCTACTCTTCCTTGCGGTGCGCGGGCTTCTCACTGCGGTGGCTTCTCTTGTTGCTGAGCACAGGCTCCAGGCGTGCGGGCTTCAGTAGTTATGGCACACGGGCTCAGTAGTTGTGGCACACGGGCCCTAGAGCGCAGGCTCAGTGATCATGGCTTAGTTGCTCCGTGGCGTGTGGGATCTTCCCGGACCAGGGCTCGAACCCGTGTCCCCTGCATTGGCAGGCGGACTCTTAACCACTGGACCACCAGGGAAGCCCCCCGCATGCTGTTCTTATTTAATCCTCCCAACAGCATAAAGGCATCTGATAGATTTGGGCCTAGGAAGTGTCTGGGGCCGTCGATACCTTTTCTTCAAGTCCAGTCGTGTGATTCTCACAACAGCCCCGTGACATAGGCAGTGAGCATCAGACGCCCACACTGAGCCCCGCCGCTCCGAGTCTAACAGGTTGAGATGTGTTGCACGGGAGACGCTCCTGGCTTCAGAGGAGAAAGCAGTGAGGACCTGAGACCCTGGACTACGTTTCGTTCCCTGGATCGTGCTCCTCCCTCCCCAGCAGGTTATTGGTCTGATGAGTCCCAGAGCTCATACGTGTTTCAGGACCATCCAGTCATCCCATCTACTTGCGGTTGAGTCATTTGTCTGTTTCTCTAATGAAGTCTAATGCCATCTCCCAGAGTTTATAGAGCAAAAGTGTGATTGGCTCTAATGACCCATTTGTGCGTGGTGATAGTCTGACGTTGGGTGGAAGTCAGCTTGGTCCTGGAGGGGCTGTAGATTGCAGCTGTAATTGCACTTGCTCGCCTCCTGACCACTTCCCCTCACCCGCTGCTGGAGCGACTTGCTCCATCATTAGCACTGCAGGCTGCCCGCCCCCCCCTCAATGTGAGCTGACACAGTTTACAGCCCAAACAAGTGTGACAGAACTGTTACACCAACGTTTATTGCCTCATCTCGACAGCCCTTGTGGAGATGACTTTAATGCTTACTCCCTGTGTGAACTGAGTCTTTCCCTTACCCCTCCTGTTACTGCTCTGGGTTAATCCCTGTAGCCCTGGATTACAGCTTTAAACCCCTGCTGAGCCACGTTTAAATCGTGTGGTTTTGCTTAATGGTGAGAGAGCATTCTCGTTACAGTAAACGGCCCGTCGCTATTTTTATTGACGCGCCTGTATCAATTCTGTATTTCCACTAGTAGCTCTTCCACCAACGCACGTCATAATCACTTACTGACCAGATTTTAGAGCGAGTGGACACGTAGAGCCTTATAACCAGGGGTACCAGACCCCGGTGTTGTTAGTTACCACATCCTTACTGAGCAGGCCGGCGGGCCTGGCGCTGCCCTGGACTCTGCTGGGAAGGCAGCAGAGCCAAGCGGAGCGCGAGCCCCTGCCTCCTCCCACTCCGCCAGTCTCCATGCCGAGGAGCTGACACAGGCACACAAGTCGTGATAGGACAAGGCTGCGTGAGTGCCCCCCGGGTGGCGCAGACATTGCAATAAGTGTTCCCAGGAGAGAGAGAGCCCCTTCTGCAGAGGGGACCCAGGGGAGTTTCAGCGGTCGACTCAAAGGGTGGGTGGGCTTCTGCATGGTGGGCGTGGGTCCACATGAGCCTGAGGGACAGACAGATGGGACCAAGGTCTCCTGGCGCCAGTGAGAAGCTCATGATCACGAGAGGGTGCCGGCCATGCGAGGAGTGTGCATAGCAGACCAGGGGGCCTGCACAGATAGAAACATGTTCATCTTCGTGCTCTCTTAAAACCATTAAGATCTGTTTTCATTCAGTTTTTTCCCCCAAAGGCCATAGAAGTGTTGTTTCTGAGTGGAATTTTTAAAATCTTATTCATACTTTGGTCAAAGTGGACTCTACGTTTGAAGGTTTGTTTTGACCTAAAAGTTTCCTAAAACTTGAGCTCTTTGAATCGCCCCAGTGCAGCTTTCTCTGGAGCTTTTCGTGGAGCTGACTGGGACCAGGTCACCTCATACAGCTGTGTTTCTTGCGAGTGCACCTACCCACCAAAGGTTCCACCCTTTAGATTGCCGACCATGAGAAACAAATGCTGCGTTGACTGTGCTGGTGGGGCCTCTGTTGGGGGGCCGCACAGGAGAGCCATCGAGACGGCGGCCGTGGGCGCTCATGGTGTCCACAGTGAGTTGGGTGGGAAGACACGTGTTTGTTCTGGGACGCGATCAACACACTGCCGAACCTTCAAACAGTCCACCAAAGGGAGTGTCAGTTGCCGAGCAAATGCACACTTTTGGGAAGTTGTTTTGCTAGATCCATCAGGAACCATAAAAATATTTGTACCTGTTTACCCACTAATTCCACTTCTAGAAACCTTTTGTAAGAAAAGAGAATCGGAGATGCTGTGAAAGGTTCATACATGAGAATGGTAATCCCAGGACTAAGCAGGAACTCTGCAAGTGCTCATCACGTGAGAATGATCACATAAATTACCATGCATCTCTACAATGCACTTTATCAGTTACTGAAGATAGCCTTTCAAAGACTATTTAATGACATAAGGATATAAAGCTTTGAAAAGCGAGTTATGATTACAAATTTAAATATTCTGTTTATATATACACACATACAGTTTAAATGTATAAGTGAATTAAAAGACCAGACAGAAAAAATGCTAAAATATTAATAGCCACATACTCTAAACCAAATATTGTGGGACAAAAGAAGACCTTTATAAGTCCCAGTGTGGTTTTCTTTAAACTTCAGAAATTCACAGACTGTCTGTTAATGGTGCCTTCCCAGGTGACAGAGACATTGTTTCCACTTATCCTAGGGCACAGCACACCTTCTTGTCTGCAGTGACCTTTTTATCGATAGTCATATAGTCTACACTTAAAATTCACAATATACATTCACATCAGTTACGGTTTGGTTTAGTTGTATATAACAAGAAACCCAAATAACAGTAGCTTTAAAAATGTGGCGGTTTATTTTTCTCTCGTGTAAAAGAAAAGTTGGCATTAAGCCGGTAAGTTGGCTGGTGTGATGGCTCCCTGGCCATCAAGAACCCAGGCACCTCCCTCCTGCCTCTCATCTTCCGCGTGTGGCCCCATATCCCACTTACCTCATAGTGCTAGACGGCTGCTGATGTTCCAGCCGTCAGGTTACAGTTGCCTCCCTCCTTGTCTGTCTCCCTCCTGGACTCTGAGCTTCCTGAGGGCAGGGATGGGTCTCCAGCCTCACCCAAGCACAGTCCCAGTACGGGAGGTGCCTGCCATTCATCTGTGGCCCAGCCGGGGCTGGGCTGCCCTTCACACCTCCTCCAGGACTTGCCGGGGCTTTCATTCAACAAATGCCCGTGCATTGTCTCTGCTGCAGAGCCCTCTGCTCTCCGCTTCCTTTTCTCATTCCTTTGTCAGTGGTCGCAGGACTGCAGGACCCAGGGCCACAGCATGCCTGGGTCACCTGCCCTGCCTTTGAGGGGCTCCCAGGCAGACCTGAATGAGCACATGACCTCACACAGGCCCTGGGCACAGACCACCCAGGTGGTCCAGGCAGGCTGCAAGGTAGGGACAGCAGGCTTCACAGCCTCCCTCACGGCTGCTGCCGGCTGTAAGACACGTTAGGAGGCAGAGAGCCGGCCCCTCAGGAGGTGACAGGAAGCCCGTTACACCTTCCACCGCTGCAGCACAAGCATCCTCGCCTCTGTGTCCACAGTGACGTCCCCTGGCAGGTTCCCCAGCTGCCCCCAGGGCTCTTGTACCACGTAGGTGCCAACTGTGTTGAGGGTCCAAAGGCTGTTGGAGCAGCAAAGGACGTGAAGATCAGCTGGGAGCAGCCCTGTAGCCCTCATCCCACAGGTGAGGATGCTGAGACCAGAGGGAGGAGGTGGCCAGCGTGACAGGTGAGTGGCAGAGCAGGGGTACAGCTGTGCTTCCTCTGCCCCAGCGTAGACAGAGCTCACTAGTGCCTTACGGTGAAAGTCCATCCTTGTGGAAGAAACAGTCCTAAAGGCCAGAAATCCTGTTGGGTGAGGAGCTGCTGTGCACAGGTCTGGCTGGGTCTCACCTGGCTCAGGACAGCCCGCGGTCGGGACCATCCCATGGGCGAGCAGGAACAAGTGGGAATCTCCCACGGTTCCCACAGTGCGGGAAGTGGGGTGGGACAGTGCCGGGAATTAGCAGAAGCGAAGCTGGTGACTGCACTCCGCCCCACAGTGCCGTTTCCAGAACGACGTCCTGTGACGGTGCACATCTGCACCTAAATGTAGAAACGCACTTCTGAGCTTCACGGCTAACGGAGCCCGTGGTTCTTGATCTGTGTCTTCTCTTTGCCTCCAGGTACACATTGGCCAAATGTATTCGACTGACAAGCTCATCATTGAGAATCAAGAGAAGCCCAGGACCTAGGGAGCCGGGACCAGCCACCACCAGCAGCCGTGGACCACTTTCAGCATCCATCCTGCTTGGCAAGGGCACTCCCAGCAGACCACAAGTGGCCTCCCACATCAGCTTTAAACAGCTTCTCACTCTGCCTGATGAACTAAGCAAGGTTCCCGTTCTCCTGCAGCCTTAGCGACAAGGGGTGGCTGTCTCTCCCTGGTTCAAGTGTTAGAATGAAGAGCTGGAGCTCCTCAGGAGAATGCCGTGTATTACTGCGTCTCCTCCAGCCCAGCCCTCCTGGTAGCTCCTCAGCACTTGTATACAGCATTCCCAGAGTTTGTTTCTTGGTCCTTGACAATAAAAAGAAGGTCCCTAGGCCTCTATACCGGACGCGCCCATCATGGTTAATGCCCTTCTGTTTCCTGCTGGTTGGCCGGTCAGTGGGGAGACCAACAGGGAGGGTCCAGCCCTGAGCTGAGTCCCCCCTTTGCAAAGGCAAGTCCAAGCACAAGTAGAGATTTGGGGGCAGCGTGGAGTAGGGCAGAGCTGAAACGGTAAAGGGTGCGCCCTGCAATTCAGACCTGGGCCCAGTGCAACGGCAGAGGTGGTCTGTGTGTGGATGCACACCTGGGGACAGGTACGTACAACCTGCTGTCAGACTGTGGTCTCGGGATTGGCGACGTCAGCCCCACCGGGGAGCTTGCTGGAAGCGCAGAATCTCAAGCCCCACCCCCAAACCTTTTGAATCAGAATCTTCAGTCTGACACACCCCAGGAGACTCCAGTATACACCGAGGTTTGAGACATGCATCCCAGATCTCACTTACTGAGTCAGAATCACCTGGAGAGACAGAGAGTTTTTTTGTTTTGTTTTGTTTTGTTTTGTTTTGAGGTACGCGGGCCTCTCACTGTTGTGGCCTCTCCCGTTGCGGAGCACAGGCTCCGGACGCGCAGGCTCAGCAGCCATGGCTCACGGGACCAGCCGCTCCGCGGCATGTGGGATCTCCCCGGACCGGGGCACGAACCCGTGTCCCCTGCATCGGCAGGCGGACTCTCAACCACTGCGCCACCAGGGAAGCCCCAGAGAGTTTTTAAAAAGGAATTTCTCAGTGCTTCATACTCTGACTTGATAAGTGAGAGGTGAGGCACAATGATTTATAAATACATTTTAAAGCTCTCCTGGTCTTTCTAATGTTGAGCCAGTTCGGGAAACTGCCCTTTGAGGATGTTACAGGTGAAAACAGTATTTGTATGCATTTGTCCTTGGAAACACATCAGTTAAAAACAGGGAAATAAGGTAGTAAATAACTTACTTGACTTCTGGGAATTTTGTGAGGGACCTGGACACTGGGAGATTTCTTGGCTTACCTCCATAAACAGTACTGAGTGAATTCATTACTCGCGTGTTTGGGTTTGGAACAGGCTCATATAAATAGTTACAGGTCCTAAAATAGGTTTAACTACACTGACCTGCCACTGAACCGCTCCCTGCATCTTAATTCTCACAGTCATGTGAGCCAAGCGCGAGTGGCCTGGGTCCATGTCCTCCCTCCCGTGTTAAAGACTGTGAGTGCCCACCTTATCTATGGATCGTAGATATTGTTGTGATGGTGCCTTCCAAATAGGTTAAACGTGTAGTCATTCTGTTTGGCAATATAACGTGTGATTTCAGGATGCTTTGACCCGTGGTTAAAGTCTTGTGTGCCTGTGAGACCAACCCTTGGTTGGTCCCAGATCTGTTACCCCTATAAACCCAGATCCTTGCACATCTTAGGGCCGAGGTGTGAGAATGAAGGCAGACAGTGAAGGGAATGGGAGTGTGCGCCCCCCTCAGCTGACTGTCACGGGGCAGCATCTCAGCCAGGGGTGTGGCTCTGGGGCACGTTCCCTTCTGCACCAGGCAGGCATGTGGTCACTCAGAAACAACTACATCCGACCACTGTGCCAGCCAGCGGAAGTCACCTCTGATTTACACTTAATTAAAGCAGCTGCTACTTGGAAACCTAAGTCCAGAGTTGAACCTCTCCCCAGAAATTCTGCTGGAATTGCCAGCAGGATAGCAGCTCCACGGGAGATTCCCCCCAGGTTTTACTCACAGAGAAAGTGGAGCAAGCAAACGGAACTCTGTCCTGCAGGCCTTCAACAGCGGGTGGCTCTTATGTTAATTAAAGCGCACGGATGGGTCTGAACATGCCCCAAGCCTTAATAAACAGAGCTAACTTTTGCAGCTCAGATAAAATTAACTATGCATTTGGAATTTGGAAAGGCATGAAGGAGAATTCTGTGACAAAAGCCACAAACGGGGGCTTCCCTGGTGGCGCAGCGGTTAAGAATCCACCTGCCAGGGCTTCCGTGGTGGCGCAGCGGTTGAGAGTCCGCATGCCGATGCAGGGGACACAGGTTCGTGCCCCGGTCCGGGAAGATCCCACATGCCGCGGAGCGGCTGGGCCCGTGAGCCATGGCCGCTGAGCCTGCGCGTCCGGAGCCTGTGCTCTGCAACGGGAGAGGCCACAACAGTGAGAAGCCCGCGTACCGCAAAAAGAGAAAAAAAAAAGCCACAAACGGATCCCTCAACTTGGCGGTGCAGGTACGGCAGGCAGCACCTTGCACTGGGTGTCCCCCGGTTCAGAGGACCCAAGGGGATGTCCCTGTGGGAGGGCCGCTTGTGTAAAGCACTCCATTTGCTCGACGAGGCCCCACCTGAGGCCTTGGGGTGAGGACGCTCCCTCCGTCCCCGCCGCCTCCAGCCTCCAGAATGTGAGGCTGTCCTAGAGGCGGGATCCCAGCTGAGGATGCTTTCCAGTGTCAGCGCTGAGAAAATAAGAAATACCACAGTGTAAGCCAACTTGTCCTGAGACAGGAACCAAGCGTGCTGGTTTCTAGACCTTCAGAGGTAACACGTGCTTGGTCTGGCTGTAACGCTTCGATGCTGGGAGACCAAGCACATGGCTTCCGTTCTCCAGGTGGAGCTGGCGTAGCTCGCTTTACCTCTGCCTGCTGCCACCAAGCAGCTGTCACCTCCGTCCCTCCATCCCCAGCCTCACCCAACATCTCAAGTCCCTGGGCACAGCAAACGTGCCACCCAACATCCAGGAGCAAAGGCGACAGGCTGGAAGGAGCCACAAAGATGACAAACCTCGGACCAGCAGACACTGGAGCTCAGCGAGCTCAACCCCCGAGCCCACAGGTATGAAAACTGAGACCCTGAGCAGCGTCTCCAGTCGGTCATGCGCAGGCCCAGCCCCCTCCCACCCCCCGTCGCTCATCTCATCCGTTCAGTGTTGGCTGGGAGCCCGAAGCCGGGGACATACCAGCGACCAAGCCCCGGCCCTGACTTCAGAGCCCGCAGCCTCGCAAGAGGGTTACGTGAGAAAACGGTGGGTCTGCCGAGTGCGACAGATGGGCAAACAGGTGCTGCAGGAGGGGACGGTGAGGGTCGGGGAGGCCTCCCCAGGAAGGGGGCTTTCAGATGAAATGAGAGGCGGGTGGGCTGGGCAGAGGGCAGGGAGAGGAGCTCTCCAGGCAGGAGCGGCAGCGCATGCGAAGCCCTGAATCGGGAAAAACAGTGCAACCCAAGGAACTAAAGGAAGCCCAGGATGGCTGGTGGCGAGGCTGGGTCAGGAGGTGGGGACCCGAGGACTGCAAGAAGCTAGTGGGGTTTTTAAGCAGGATCTTGTCTGTATTTTTAAAAGGTCACATTGCTATAGCGGGAATAGGATGCAGGGCGACCAGCTTTTGGTGGGAGAAATGGGGGGGTCAGACTGAACACTTGTAATCCAGGCAAGAGATGGTGGTGACTTCACCGAGGCCAGTGATGTTGGAAACAGTCAGCATCACCCTGAGAAGAACTTGCCTCGGCCAGGGCTCTCCTCCCGGCGGGCAGGAGACGCGTGGGGCAGGGACGCCCTGCAGGCCCCCCAGGCCAGCCCAGCTCAGGTGAGCTGGCTTCAGCCACCCCTCAGCTCTGTGGCCAGTAATCAACTGCTGTCTAAGGCGCTGAGCTTTGGGGTGGTTTGTTATGAAGCAGTGACAAACTAATACAGAGAACTAGTAGAAAACCTTAATTGATTACTTACTCAGGGCCACAGAGCAAACTTTGAAGAGTAGGCAGGCAACCTCAGCCCAAACTGTGGGTCTCCTGTGCAGGGCCGTTTCCACGAGTATCTTCAGGGCACAGGCGTCACGTGTCTTACAGACAGAAGGGCTTGCTAACTACTGGACCCCACTGGGGGGCACATTAGGAACAAAACAGGACGAAAAAAAGAAAGAAAAGAAAATAGGGTCAACAGGACTACCGACTGGGTGGGTGTGAGGTGTACGGGGCGTAAGGGGCACCTGGAGCGCCAGGTTTGGGGCCACGGTGGCTAAGCAGACGTAGGCCACCACCTGAGACAGAACAGGAGGGGACACTGTCTGCGCTTTCTCCCCCTGCTAGGTCCAATCAACTTCAAGTTCAAACAGAAAGTCTAGCGCCTACAAATGTGTCTTTTACCTCCAAATGTTGAAAATATCATTTCTGTAGATTCGTTTTATTTTTTTAAAAAAATCCACTGGAATAAAGCAGCTTGAAAGACCCTTATAAAGAGACTTCCCCTTAGCTCTCTGAAGAACAGATATTCTCCTTCTATAGGTTAAAGCCTATAGATGTATATCATCATTGGGAACAGGACGAGTAGGGGAAATTTTTCCATATTTAGCAAAAGGTGACACGAGATTAAAAAAACAAAGGGCTGAGGAAAGTTGGTCGACATATTCTGAGAATGTGCTTCCAAGAATGAAACTAAAAGGCACAGTAAAACCTCAGCAGGTACATACAGAAAGTGCGCAAGTACATTTTAGAACAGAAGGGGCTGCTTTCTCATGAGGCACTTCCTGCAAACTGTTGCCCACTTTTTAGATGAAAGGATTGCTCAGGTATTGAGGCCAGGCTACACTTGTAGCAACAGCTGAAGAAATGACAAGCACTCAGAAGGCAGAAGGAGAAAGCGTTTCCTACACCGAGGATCATGTCCTCTGAGCTTGGGACGGTGTCTTCTGAACCCACCACGGTATGGACACAAAGTGCCTTGATAAATATGGTCAGAACCCAGATGACCAAATCTTGATTGCAGACAACCACGGGGACGGTTTGGAGAACATTTTAAAAGTTCTGCCTTCTAAATTGTGCAGTGGCCTCATGACGGTGGTCATCGCGTGACTCAGAAGCCACGGGAAGCAGCCACGCCATCTGGGTCATGGGCACGGACACAGCTAGTGAGGTCGGCAGACAAAGGCGGAACCCTGTGCTGATGCTCATTCTTACAAAGGGAACAGCCCGCAAGGACTCGTGCTCCGCGCGTCCCAGGAGCTCGTCGCATGTTTGCTTTGTTACAAGAAAGCCGGAACTTGGTGGAGAAA